AAAGCATCAGCGGGGAGCAGAAGGCCTGGTATGATTGGCATGGCTGCCTTTACTTCAGTCCAACACTAATTGGCCTGATATTTACTACAGCAGCAGCATGTTGTTAAACCGCGGTGATGATAGTCAAACACTCTTCTTTTTCTGTGCTGCTCCGGCAACAACAGCCACGGCATTTGACCAACATTTTTTGTTTACTCTGATTAGAGAAGTTTTTACTCACTTTACTTGAGTCGTAATTTCAGCAGCATTGATTTCTGCAGCTGCTTGATTGGAGCATTGATTTGACCTTTTAAAAGATGAGCTTCAGCTAATTTGTCTCCTTTTCTGATGATTTTAGGCATCACAGAAGCTGAATACTGAGTAGCTGTGGGGGGTTTTGGTTCACTTTGCCCAGTGCAAGCCTTCTCCAATCAGTGATCGGCATATTGTGGGCTTATAAGTTTCCGTCTGACTTTTTTTTTCCAAAATTCAGTTTTTTACGTGTAGGTAATTGTTTAGATCTAATTATTGCTGATACATTAACACACCACCGCCACGTCAGTGTCACTGCAGTGCTGAGGATGATCCACCACCTATATATATGCATCAATAGCCCTTTTTCCCTTCCAATACCGATTCCTGATTCTTTAGTATCAGCCGATAACAAGTACTGATACTAATGCTAACTCTATCTAACTCACCTATAGGTCCTGATATTTATACAATTACATTTTTTAAATATTTTATTTTGGTAAAATCTGCGTTCTACTTCACAAATAAAACACACTCAGCTTCGCTAGATGGCATTTACTTGTTGGATTATATTTATTAGATGCTTAAGAAAACTTATTTTTGTTTATTTACTGTATATATTCAGCATTTACTCTTATAAAATTAGTAATAAGAACCATGTTTAAAAATTTAAGTGAATGTAAAATATCTTTGTTGTGCAAAACAGGTAAAAACAGAACTGAACAGTTTACAGATAAACCTGTGGTGTTTACACATCGGCACACAGCAGCTTCTCAGGCTGAAAAACAGAGCTGAATGTTGTTTCATATGCAAATTTCTTGAGGCATTTGTCTCATACGTGCGTCTTGTTTACTCGTGCTGCATCTCTGAGCGTCACTTCAGTAAATATCACCGACGTTCATGCTGTCAGTATCAGCGACTTTCAGTGGTTTTTCTGGCCTGGTTGAAGCAACAGGCCATGAGACCCCGCTGCTGAGTGATACAGCTGACCGACAGGTGCACCGCAGACGGGGCTAGTGGACGCACAAGCCCGGCTAGCAGGCTGCTATGCTAAAGGCTGAGTCAAGGCTAAGGCTGTCATTATGCTGAGAGTCCAGCAGTTCCTTCCACTCTCAATAACATTAACTCAGTCTGTAAGTGACCGCACAGCGTCAGACGAGTGATTACAGAAAGAAGCAGCTCAGCCGTTCAGGTAAGCGGATCCCCATCACTGAAACTCTCATAGATAGACTTAAGAACCAGATTGGGCTCTTATGAACTGTCCTAAAATGGTTCAGTTCATACCTGCAAGGAAGGGACTACTTTGTGGAAATTCAAAGTAATATTTCTGAGAGAGTGCCAGTGACCTGTGGTGTCCCCCAGGGTTCAATTCTTGGGCCACTCTTATTCAATTTATACATGCTGCCTCTTGGCCAAATCCTACAAGACTGTGGTGATGATTTATATGATGATAAACTGTCTAAACTGTTCAGTATGTTTCTGTCCTTGCTATGTGCTAAATCTGGCACCTGTAAGGAGAATAAACTACTTTGTTCTCTCAGCTCTCTCAATTTTATGTTAGCGTGGGCTAGCAGAGCTCAGATGACCCTGGCAGTGGTCCAGCCATTTGAGAAGCACAGTGTAAGAGTGTGTGTGATTACGATGCTGTAAGAGACACAGACCTTCTGTCAGCACTTATTCACCTCTTAGTACAGGGAAGTCCAGGTGACTGGTCTGCTAATAAATGATTCTGCGATTTTCCACGCTGTTCCCAGAGGACTCCGAAGTCTTTTTCCACGGACAGCTTACATCTGTTGCTGTGATTTATTTTGTCTTGCATTCATCTGTCTCCCACATTGGTCTGTGGATGTGTGAGTTTAAAATGAAAGGAGCTGCTGGTTTCACAGATGTCTCAGCAATGAAGGAAAACGTCTCACACTGTATTTAAAGGGGAATTCCAAGGATTTTTCAAAATGTCTGTGTAAATGAATCACTGAGATGTAAACAAACTTGTTTAGATTGGTTTGATGTGAAATGTTTCATTGCAGAGAACTCAGATTTTCTTATAGGAACCAGAGGCACTTTACTGTAGGGTGCTGTTCATAAGGCAACATGACACCTACATAAGCTTGTCATGACAACTGACATAACCCTACATAACTGTTTATAAATGCTTGTTCCAATAAGCGTCATTCGCTATAAAAGTTACATTAGCCAATTTCGATCAAAGTCAGCTAAGGTAGCCTTTATGACAGATGACGCCTGTTGTAATAAGCATTTATAAACAGTTATGTAGGGTTATGTCAGTTGTAATGACAGCCTTATAAAGGTGTTGTGTAGCCTTATGAACAGCACCCTACAGTAAAGTGTTACTGAAAAAACCTACGAAAGATCGTAAGACAAACATTAAGAAGTTCCTAAGAGTGAGCCTCATTCACCAACCATTCTTAAGAAGAAATTTCTTCTTAAAACCCACTTAAGCAGTTTTCACACAGATTCTTACACTCTCCAGTGTTTTCCTTTTTGGGATTTGTTCTTAGGTAAGAACAGAATCTACACACTCAAGAGCGCAAAGGTGTGAACAGTTCTGCGGTTTAAGAACACGGCATGAATCTGACGTAGACTTTCTTAAGGACCTTTATCAAGAAGACGTTTAAGAACAAACTTAGGAAGATATTGGAGAATGAGGCCCAGTGTTCTTAAATTCTCATTAAAAAAACAAAAAACTTCAGACGTTCTTGATTATTTTCTGAAGAGAGTCTTAATTGTTTTCGTGTGTAGGCTGTGGGGTATTTGTCATGTAGGGTATCAGTGTCAAGTTACGTTTTACAGTTTGCCAGAAATTATACCATATTTCCATTAACTGGTTTTTCAGTTCAGTCACATCAGCGCCTGAGGGCAGCAACATGAAGGCAAAACAAAATCAAACCAAGTATTAAAAAAGGTTTGGCAAACAAGAACCAGACGTGTTTGTTGAGAAAACAACCAACAAGAAAAATCCTCCTTGGTTGATTATAATTATTGTATTTCGTGAAACTCATTCAAAGTTTCAGTTTAATAGACTTTATCAGTTCTTAAGGTCTAAGATGCCTAATATAAGTGTGAGACTGTCATAAGGTTAAGAAAAAAAAAATTTAGTATACCTCTTCTTCTTACGATTGTTTTTAAGAGAAAAGTTAAGAAGAAAATTAAGAAAATTCTTAAGAAGTGTTTTGAAGAATAATAATTTATCTTAACTTTTTCGTAAGAATGTATTTTCTTAAGGAAAAATGCACATTTAAAAAGAAGTTTTTATTTGTGGGGTCTTTGGGGACTATTTTGCCTCACAGTGCCCTGCATGTACCTCTCCACTGTGAATAGATTAAAAAAAAGGTTTAGCCCAAAACCTGATCTCGAAACTATCATAACTGTGTCATTGTTTCATTTAATAAGTTTCTATCACCACCGCTGTGAACAATTCTGATTTCATAAGGTTTTCTAGAATAAAGCATTTCACATCAAACCACTCTGAATGACTTCTCTTACATCTTAACTGTTAAATTGAGCAGAAATTTTGACGTTCACTTGCCATTTCTTTGAGTATTTTTTCTGAATAACTGGAAAAGCAACAGATCAGTTTGTAGCATTGGCTCAGGCTCTGCACAATATATTGTTTGTTAATTGTTTTGTGATAGATGGCACATAGCTGTCATATGCAAATGTGGCTTGGGCTGTGAGCAGATCAGTTTTTCTGTGGGTGTTTTGATAAAACAAGATATTCATATAATCTGAAAAAGTATTATATTGGTTAAAATAAAGGAATGAAAGCCAGTTTTTAACCAAGACACATTATTTACCAAGTCGATTTACTAGCACCTTTTAAAGTACTGCAAAGTACACTGATCAGGCATAACATCATGACCACCTCCTTGTTTCTACGCTCATTGTCCATTTTATCAGCTCCACTTACTATATAGGTGCATAGCCCATCTGTTTCTCTGCATACTTTGTTAGCCCCCTTTTTCCCTGTTCTTCAGTGGTCAGGACCCCCATGGACCCTCACAGAGCAGGTACTATTTGTTCTCAGCACTGCAGTAACACTGACGTGTTGGTGGTGTGTTAGTGTGTGTTGCGCTGGTCTGAGTGGATCAGACACAGCAGTGCTGCTGGAGTTTTTAAACACCTCAGTGTCACTGCTGGACTGAGAATAGTCCACCAACCAAAAATATCCAGCCAACAGCGTCCTGTGACCACTGATGAAGGACTAGAGGATGCCCAACACAAACTGTGCAGCAGCAGATGAGCTATAGTCTCTGGCTTTACATCTACAAGGAGGACTGACAAGGTAGGAGTGTCTAATAGAGTGGACACTGAGTGGACTCCAGCAGCACTGCTGTGTCTGATCCACTCCTACCAGCACAACACACACTAACACACCACCACCATGTCAGTGTTACTGCAGTGCTGGGAATGATCCACCACCCAAATAGTACCTGCTCTGTGAGGGTCCATGGGGGTCCTGACCACTGAAGAACAGGGTAAAAGGGGGCTAACAAAGTATGCAGAGAAACAGATGGACTACAGTCTGTAACTGTAGAACTACAAAGTGCACCTATATAGTAAGTGGAGCTGATAAAATGGACAATAAGCACAGAAACAAGGAGGTGGTCATAATGTTATGCCTGATTGGTTTGTATTACAGTCACAGTATGTATCTGTATGATCACAATACAGATGCTTTTCCAAATTGTGCAGCCTTTTTTGACTCAGTCTAATTTATGTTGTAATATGTTTTTCTTCTTTCTGACCAGGTGTCACAGGCCTGTTGAAGATGGACGAGAACGGCGACTGTGAAATCGATTTTGCTCTCTGGGACATGACGGACACAGACTCAGGAGTTTATGAGGTAACGTTTTAGACTTCTGTGCTGGAATAATGACTTTAAGTAAGTGGCCTGGCTGCCTTAAGTTATAGACAATACTGAACTTGAAACAATATGTTTCCAGAATGTCAAATAGATTATATATTTGGATTTCTTTGATTAAATTGTATTTTGACCCCTTAAATGACCAAAGTTTTATATATATAAGAATAGCCCTGCCAGTTTGCAGTAAAGTCTCTGTAGTTACTGAATAATACACCTTAGTATGGAATAAGCCTGGGATTCTAAGGGGTTAAAATGTTTCTGCATTTGTCTGTTTGTTGTAGATCGTGTCTGTGTATAACAGCAGTGTGAAGCAGATGGTTCTGGAGCCGGGGATGAAGGTCCACTGGCTGAAGGGCACTCCTCCTCCTGACATCCCTCCATGTGGCTTTAAGAACGACAACCCTGCCTGTCTCGCCAGTAAGCAGCGTTTAGACCAGGCCTGAGTGACATCTGCAAATAATTAACGCAGTATTTTCATGTTAATAAATCTAGATTATGGATTACATCAACACCCATATGACTATCTGGGTGCCATCCGTGGAAACTGCGCTGGAGACAGTGGGAAATTTGTCCAGGCTTATTAATACGTCGTTACCCTCCATTGTTTTAACAATCCTTGGTCAATAACAGTAAAACAGAACAAAGCATTATGTGTTAATTAATTAAGTAAAAATTAAATTAGGCCTAATTCCATATTAGTTCTCTTTCTCAGCAAGAACAATTATTGCCTGTCAGGAGTCAGCATCGGGTTACTTGTCAGTCATTGCAGATATCAGATTACCTTGAGAACAATAAAAATGTGGTTGCAAACAATGGAAGTGTCAGCCAGACATTTATAGCTGTTAAAAATATTCTCCACCTTCACAGCCAAACTTTTGAATTTTTAGTGGGAAACTTGCATCCAACATTTCCTCCACATGTCCAGTGCAGCACCAAGGCTGCCGCGCTGTCATCCTGCTGCATGTTTACTGGTTTATTTGTTCCACATGTGGAGAACACAAGGTGCTCCCGAGGGGCTTAATCCTTAGATGTCACAGTCATCGTCAGTGGTAACAAAAGGATGCTGTGATTTGGGTTACTTCTCAGTTGGAGTTCATTAAAACAAGTTGAGAAATTCTGGTCAAAGTCCAGATTCTAATCTTTCAACACAAACCGCATTTGTGTTTGGAGCTAATTACATTTAAGCATTAGAGAAAGATGACAGTACAAACTCTAGACCTCAAAATGCTGTTTTCCAATCCGAATCACAACTTTGTCTTCTTACAGGGAAGCTGGTAAACTCTGTTCTACATTTTAGTGACGCTGACTTTGTTCAGAAGTTTCTGTTGTTGATCAGGCAGAGAGATTCCAGATGGAGCCCTCATCAGTACACATGGGATTGACAAATTAATGGAAACACCACATGAAAAAAACACTGACTCATAATTGCAAAAGCAGCTAGGCAGGTTAGTCACACAGGGTTGCAGCAACTAAGTAACTAACTAATAAGGATTCAAAGAGGCCCAGTAGTTACATCAGATGTGGAACTTATTTGGCACTGAGGCTAAAGCCAGGGGTCAGCAACATGCAGCTCCAGAGCCATGTGTGGCTCTTTTACTGCCCTGTTGAGGCTCCACAGCAGAATTAGATTAGCAGGTAAAAATAAAATAATCCTCCTTTACAGTAAAATAAAGCTCTGCTGATCGTTCAACACAGTTTAACAATAAATGATCTTAAATACTGGAGTTAATGTAGAAATGCTAATTCACCCTTTAACCCTGAAGGTTGGCGCTCAGACTGCTAATAGCCATAGGACCATAGCAACACAGACGACAGTCTCATCTAGCTAGTAGCTAATGAAAAAGTAAAGAGAGAGATTTAAGACGAGCATTGATGATTTGGAGACGAATGGGCTTATTTGCATTTATAATCACTCCAGCTGGTTTCCTGATACGTTTAATCTGCAACGAGAAACTGTCAAACACTAAAAAGTCGCGAGGCTGAAGTACATTCTTGAAGTACATACATGGTGCAGCGGCTACATTCTAGCATTTAAGGTGAAACTTGAAAATTAGACCAAGAAGCTGGTGAATGAGAAGCGACTTCAGCCCCATACAGAGTCAAAAGTTGAGAGACATTTTACAAGAAACTGTTCTACTTTCGAGGAAAGTTTCCTGTCAGAGATGTGAGAAAAGCGGCTATAGCTGAGCTAAAGCTTAAAGCAGAGCAACGTTTTTTTTTTCTGCTATTTTGTTTATATTATATTTTTATCCTATACTAGTACATTACTACATACTGAGACCTATTTAAGCCAAGATGGTAAAATAGATATAAAATATTGTGGCTCCCGAGATGGTTTGATTTTTGTTGAAACATTTGGGTTGCCGACCCCTGGCTTAAGCAATTCTTCAACATTATCGACAATGTTGAAAATAAAAATTGGCAACAGATATTTTTCACTTACATTTTCAAAGTGATGTCCAACCTAGAGTGAGTTATGACTGACCGTGAAGGGGCAGCAGTTCAATCATAATGTCGTGCCCATATGAGCAGATAGTGAAAGAAAAAGAACAATCATAGCTGACAGTTAAGAAGTGAAAGTCTGGGAGCTTTTTTAAAATGAAAGATAAAATTATTGCATACAACATATGTCTGACTGAGCCTCCATGGAAGCACAACATTACCTTCCACCACCAGAATGAAAGCATGCTGGTGTCGTTCTGAAGCAGCAGAATAATCAGTAAACCTTTTTTTCCCTCTATGCTGGTGTTCTGACAAACTGAACTACTTCCTGCAAACGTTCACACTGTAAGTGATGGAATGAGCTTAATGTTCCCTCAACAAACATCACATCACTAACATTAGTCACTGGACTACTCATCAGTTTCTGTTAATTAGAAGAGTTTAGCAGCAACTTAAAAAAAAAAAGAAACAGTTTGGCAGCCCATCCTGTCACAGATTTACATACTAACTGCTTAATTAGCTTAAAGTTCAACTCATTTTGTAAACGTAGTTTTCACGGTCCACTCGTCTTGGAAAGCTGCTCACACACAGCACGTGTAGTGAGCTCGCACATTAAAATGTGGTTAAATCACGCTGCAGCATGAAGAGCAATAACAGTAATCTACATATTTATTATTAGATCACTTATTTTTAGCTAATTGCATCACTTTTTTCCGCTAGTGGTGGTAATTTAGTTTGTCGGAACTTTGCAAAACATTTTATTGTTACAGCTCTTCACATTTACAGGCCACATTTAAACTGAAATTAGTTGATTGATTCACATGAATAAATAAATCTGAAATATGATGTTTTTGCAGCTCTGTGTAGCACAAAACTATTTAATTTATTAAGCTAAAGAGCCTCATTGCAACATAAAAGAATAAGAGCAACAACAAATAAGGGCATGCTGGTTCAGACAGTCACATATCAAAGGTCACCGATTGGGCAGACAGACACTTTACAAGAAAAGCACAAAATATCACAACACTGTCACCTCAAAATGTATCACATAATGGAATGAGTGCCTCTGTGATCCAATCACAATGAAACTGAGTAGTGTGAGCTTCACAGAGCTGTGATTTATCGGCATGTATGTCTTATGACTAAGGATTACAATGTTATTGTACACAACCAAGTGTACTATGTATAATGGTTCTATATAGAACCATTTTCTTTACCAAAGAACCCTTAAAGAACCATCATTTTAAAAAGTGTAGCTCTTAAAGTCATGCTTTAAACTCTGTCTCCCCAAGCAGATATAATAATGTTTAGACGTGGTGATTGGGGAACGCGCTTGACTTATCTGGTTTACATGAATTTATTTGGTAGTGTGTATGGAGCATATTATTATTATTATTATTATTGTTGTTGTTGTTGTTGTTGTTATTATTATTATTGTTATTATTATTATTATTATTATTATTATTATTATTTCATAATTATCCTGCTTTCATTCTTTCTCTTTGTACCCTTTTTATTCTCCTAAACTGTTCTTTCTTTTTCAAACTCTCTTCTCTTTCCATCTTCCTCTCCCTGTTTGGATTGGTGGTTCTTTAAGGGTTCTTTAGTAAAGAAAATGGTTCTATATAGAGCCATGAACTCTCAAAGAACTCTTTGCATGATTAAAGGTTTCTTTGCATCTTTAAATGGTTCTTCAGACTGATGGAGAATGTGCTATAGGTGGTTCTATGTAGAACCCTTATATATATAAGGGTTCTATATAACATCAAAAAGGGTTCTTCTGTTGTAACAGTGTAAAGCCTGTAACAATAGAACAACCCTTTTTAGTGTTATATAGAACCCCTTTCAGATTTCAGTTCTATATAGAACCATATTAAACACATTCTCCATCAGGCTGAAGAACCCTTTCATGATGCAAAGAACCCATTAATCATGCAAAAGTTTCTTTGAGTGTACATGGTTCCATATAGAACCATTTTCTTTAGTAAAGAACCCTTGAAGAATCTTTTGTAAGTGTGTAGCTGGTAATAGTTATTTAGTACTATGGAGTTCTAGGTATTATCCAGTTAATACCTAGAACTTTTTTATCATTTCAATGTAATTAAGTTAAACTGGCAGTTTGATGGTTGATTGTGATTATAAAAGACAGTCAGATAGATAGATAGATAGATAGATGGACAGACGGACGGACTGACGGACGGACAGATAGATTGATAGATAGATAGATAGATAGATAGATAGATAGATAGATAGATAGATAGACGGACAGATAGTTAGATCGATAGATAGATAGAGAGATAGATAGATAGATAGATAGATAGATAGATAGACGGACACATAGATAGATAGATAGATAGATAGATAGACGGACACATAGATAGATAGATAGATAGATAGATAGATAGATAGATAGATAGACGGACACATAGATAGATAGATAGAACTTTATTGAAATAAAATAGACATAAATTAGGCAGAAATCATTTTAAAAAGTTGTGTGATGAGTGTCGGATTCTGTTTCTCAGTGTTACGCTGCATATTTCTGTCCTCTGTTTCAGAAACGGTCACTATGCACCAGATGATCTCCATAGTTGTGTGCTTCATCTTCATCATCATCGTTACGGTCACAGTCTTTATCTACAGGTCAGTTAAGCCCTGTGCCTCTCAGTGGGCGTTAATACACGCACGTTCTTTTACAGAGTTTGCAGATTCTGATACAGTCTCTCCACTGTGGTCCCTCATTTCCCCTCATTGTCACCCCCTCGTCTCTCTCTCTCTCTCCACACGTGTTGCTTTTTTTAACTCCTGCTTGTCCTTTTTCCAACTTGTCTCACAAACCTTCCCTTCCTCTCACACACGCCGTTGTTTTATCCTGCTTTCATTCTTTCTCTTTGTACCCTTTTTATTCTCCTAAACTGTTCCTTCTTTTTCAAACTCTCTTCTCTTTCCATCTTCCTCTCCCTGTTACTGATGGCTTCTCAGAGAGATCAATTACAGATATATTAGTAGGAAAAGAGACGGCCTGAAATAGATGCATTTGAATAGAACTTGTTTCCACCAGCTTTAATGTTTTACTATTATTATCAAATATCATTGACGTGTAATTCCTGAACCCCTGATTCACACTTTCTCTGACTGTCCTAAAGAAATGTGATTGATGTTTTTGTTTATTTGTTATATCTGTCTATTATACCTGTCTATATCTATATTTTTATGTATCACTACTGTATATGTTTTATTAGAACACAGTTATAAAAAGGATGTTAGCTTGCTGTTTGATATTCTTGGGCCACTTTACTGGACATGGATTAAGCCTAGTCTTGAGCTGATGTACACTGGCATTCAAAGATGTGGAGTCATGGTTTTCTACGATATGAAATTGGATTTCAGATTGAAAAGTGCTACAGTACAATTCATTTTAAATGTCACTTCTGTTAAAGTGAACCTGAAGGAGAGCCAGCTGCAAGTGATTAATAATAATAGACCCCTTTCACATTTTCTCTGTTTTTCTGCTGTAAGCACTCGTTTGTTACAGGGTTACGCTGTTTCCGCTAATAAGCTCCCCGGACAAAAAAATTAGTCACTTTGCGTGTTTAAGGTGGTGACTAATTTCTTGTGAATAAAAATCGCTTTGCTTCCAGGCAAGAATTGCTTCTAGAAGTCAACGCAGGTCCTTCACAACCAATTTCTGAAAGAAATCTCCAAAGAGATTTTTATTCACAAGCCGTGAAACACGCCAGTGGTTCCTGTCTGTCACTTTTATTATTCGGGCCACAATTCTAATGTGAATTTCCAGGATTTTTGCCACCGCTGGTCGACCCGTATGACTATGTGCTTCGATACACCTGCAAATCCAGCTACGTCCTTCACACTGTGGCCTTTGGCAGCCCAAATGCAATCACTCCTTTTTGCCAATCGTTAACGTCTGCTTTGCAACCCATTTTCCACACATCGAACGAGACATTCACTGCACTGTACCACCTCTTCTCAATCTATGAATCCCGTCGCACACGCGGCAGGTATTTATAGCCTGATCATCCTCGTGCAACGCCACCTGCAGGAGTCTGAAGTTACTACCACCTTAAACATGCAAAGTGGCTAATTCTTTGTCCAGGGAGCTTATAACAATAATAACAGTGATGGCCAAGTGGAGCTCGTACAGCTCACCTAAGCATAAACAACCTCACCTCACTTTCTTCGGCTTCTCAGCTGATGTGGGTTTATGCATTTAGGAGAAACGACACAATAATCTTGGTCATACTGAGGAGAAGTAGCTGTTGACATATGACTTACATTGTGCGTAGTACAGTCTTAACTTGCAGCAATGAACAGTGCTTATTAACAGTTATTCCTGAGCCCATGCAGTGATATCTATTACAGACGCATGCTGGTTTTTAATGCAGTACCATCCGAGGGATCAAAGGTCACACGGTTCATATCACTGCTTTATGCTTTTATTTGCATTTCACATAGTGTCCCAACTTCGCTGGACTATATATATTATATAAATTATACTTTATATAATTTGGCCCAGGTTGCCCAAGCGTTTACAACTGGACGCATGATAACATAAGATAGAAATGCGTCCTTTGTATGATTATAAGGGACTTGAACAACACTACCCATAATTCATTGTTAGTCAGCTGCAGTCTGCGTTCTAAAGGAGTTGTGGTGAGAACAATAACTTATACATTCTAGGGTGTTTTCACATATAGTTTGTTTTAAATGAACCAAACTGAGTTCTGTTAAAGGGAACCTGAAAGGGAACCAACTGCAAGTGACCTCAGTTCTTTATGTGTTCACAGTGTAAGTGAACTATGAAGAGGGCTCAGTTTTCTTTCTGGTCCTTTGAGATCTCAGACCACTTCTTGTTCAGACCACAACTCCATTAGAACTAAGACTGCTTTCACACCACTCACACTGTGTGCAGTGCCCGCAAAGTGGGCAGCTTTCTCTGATAAATCTGACCTTTCAGACGGCGAGAGGAGCCACCAGACCTGCCAGCTGCTCTGCTATTGGCCACGCTGAAATGATTGGCCGAGGTGGTCTCAGTTCGGTTTGTTTTTGGGGTCGTTTAGAGGGGTCTGAGTTTGTTTGTCGTGTTCACATTTGCACAGAAAACCATGATTCAGACACTGAAACGGCCCAGTGTGAAAACGTCCCTAAAGAGGACCAGAAAGAGAACTTTATAAGTTTGCGAACATCGTGAACACAAAAAGCACGGAGGTGCAGCTGGTTCCTTTTCAGGTTCACTTCAACAGAGCTGAGTTTGGTTTCTTTAAAAAGAACTACATGTAAAGAAAACCTGGACTTAGGCTTAGTCTATGTCTGAGAAACTGGCTCCTTAAGTATTTGTGCTTTGTTTTTGCTCATGAATGAACCACTGCTTGTGTTTAGAAATGCAACCCGAAGTGCTTTTTTTTCTTTTCTGTATATTCTGCAAACTTTCTATGAATAAACTAGTCAGTAAATGTCTTTCAGTGTCAATAAAGTCAATACAGCAGTGAATGTCAACACGTTTCTGAGCTGTTGCTGCATTATTTCTAACGCTGCCGTGATCCTCCCTCCTGTGTGCTGCACACACACTGTTTGTTTTTCCTCCGTTCTTTTCCACCTCTTCCTTTCCTCTTTGCTCCTTTCTCTTCCTCTCTCTCTCGTTGTGCTTTGCCATTTTTCTTTTGCTTTCACTCGCTCCGTCTCTCTCACCCCCCGCGTTCTGTCCGTCAGAAAGGTGAAGCTGGAGAACGAGTTGGCCGCTCAGCTTTGGAGGGTTTACTGGGATGACATTCAGATAAGCAACTTGGACAAGGCGCTGCGCCGAGCCTGCAGCAGGCTGACCCTGTCACTGGTGAGAAAAGACATCAGTCATATATCTGTAGTACTCATCACTCCTGTGCAGTGTGTGATTTTCTACTCTATTTTCTGCCCACAGAGGGGCTCCAATTATGGCTCGCTGCTGACCATGGAGGGAAACGTTCAGATTTATGCCAAAACCTGCTACTACAAGGTATGAGAACATTTCAGAGTCATTTACTGTTTAAAGCTACACTATGTAAGTTTGGGGGATTTGGAGACCTCTCTGGTGGAACTGTGTAATTGCACAGTTGTAACTTAGGTTGCCCCCTTCCCCAAGCAGATAAATCAGATGATTGCAAGAGAATTCAAGGAGAACTTAGTCATAACTTGGTGAATGACATGCCATCTCAGGATGTGAGCTAATTATCTACTATTGTCATCATATCTTCATCAGTACAGGGTGATTCAAAAAGATTCATCCATTTTAAAGCACCAGATTTTTATGACCTTGAAGTGCCTAGGAACCAATCACATACCAATTGAAAGAGGGGATCATGGAGTTTCTGACCGGAAGATGGCTCCCTTCAGTCTGTGTGGAGATGTGATCCCTGAGCAAAAAGCGTTCTGCGTTCTCCACTTCAATAAGAGTGAATCCATCATAACTGTGCAGCGTAATTTTCAAGGGCAGTGAAGCTCCAACAGCTCAGAGCGTTCGTTGTTGGTTACACAACACTGGATGATCTCCAAAATCGCACTGAAAGAGCCGTCAGTACAGCGACACCCGACATGCTCAATCGAGTATGGGATGAATTTGACTATGGTGTTGATGTTGTCCGTACAGCTGGAGGAGGTTCATACTGAGACCATGTAAAATTACCATTTACCATTTACAGTTTACTGCATTGTTCTGTAATGATTTACAGGTGAAATAAATCATTTTGAAACTGGATGAATCTTTTTGAATCATGCTGTATAATGTTGGTTTTGCATTTGAGGTCTAAACATCAAGCCGGACCTTCTTTTTCAGCCTGTGCGTGTGTTAATATGTAAAGAAGCAGGCGTGGTCCAAAAAACTCTTGCCAAATCCGACCCAACACCTCTGACTTTTAAATTATTATTTCAGGCTTTACAGGGTCTCATATTTTAGCATGTTTTTTTCCTCCTGACTTCAGTTTTTTTGATGTATGTAGTTACTCATTTCCACCAGAGGGGTCTCCAAATCCACAAATCTTACATAGTGCAGCTTTAAAGATGGCAAGATCTGTAAATATGAGTATGCAAATTGTAGACGCCTGCTTGGCAGTCTAAACATCTCGAACGTTAAGTTATTTTAGTGCAGACATGTTCTGTGGCTGTAAGTTTCGTGTCGCCACACTGAAAAAAAACACATTGTTGAGTGCAGGGGGTCTTTCAGTGATTGTTATCTAGTTTATTCTACAACTTTAGCATCAAGGCTCTTAAGAACATTGTATCTAAAGGGACGTGTTGTCATGGCAGGGTTTTAAGGCCATAATTTGTTTTCGGTTCAAATTTTAACTGAAGATTTCATAATTTTGATCAACATGTATACTTACATTTTTTTAAGGATTTTATTTTTTAATATTTTTAAAATTAAGAGTTTTTTTATTTGATGCTGCTGGCTATTCACTATATATACTGAATATATTATTAATTAATGTATTATATATACATTATAATGTTCCTTATGTCCTCCGTCTTGAATTAAGAAGCAATTTCTTCTTAACCAATGCCGATTTCTCTGGCAAGCTAAGAGAGCAGGCAGAGAAACTAATGTTCAAGTGTTAATGCGCTTCTTCTCCAGGGAAACATTACAGCCATTAAGTATGTCAACAAGAAACGCATCGAGCTCACCAGGAAAGTGCTGTTTGAACTCAAACATGTGAGTATGTGTTCAAAGCCTCCGTCTGTCGTGCACTTTTAGAATAATTACATTTATATGACATTCAGGGGGAGGTTAATACACCAGGACAGGCTGATGGGGACTGATGACTAATTCTCGTCTCTTCTTTTTCCTTTTCTCTTCTCTTCTCTTCTCTTCTCCTCCTCTCTTTCCTTTTCTCTTGTGTTCTCTTCTCTTTTCTTCCCTTCTCTTCTCTTCCCTTCTCTCCTTTTCTCTCCTTTTCTTTTGTGTTCTCTTTTCTTCTCTTTTTTTTTCTTGTTTTCTTCTCTTCTCTTCTCCTCTCTTCTCTTCTCTTCTCTTCTTTTCTCTTCTCTTCTCTTCTCTTCTCCTCTCTTCTCTTCTCTTCTTTTCTCTTCTCTTCTCTTCTCTTCTCCTCCTCTGTTTCCTTTTCTCTTGTGTTCTCTTCTCTTTTCTTCCCTTCTCTTCTCTTCCCTTCTCTTCTTCTCTCTCCTTTTCTTTTATGTTCTCTTTTCTTCTCTTCTCGCCTGTTCTTTACTCTTGTGTTCTCTTCTCTCTTTTCTCTTGTGTTCTCTTCTCTTCTCTTTTTTTCTCTTGTGTTTTCTTCTCTTCTCTTCTCTTCTCTTCTCTTCTTTTCTCTTCTCTTCTCTTCTCTTCTCCTCTCTTCTCTTCTCTTCTCTTCTTTTCTCTTCTCTTCTCTTCTCTTCTCTTCTCCTCCTCTCTTTCCTTTTCTCTTGTGTTCTCTTCTCTTTTCTTCCCTTCTCTTCTCTTCCCTTCTCTTCTTCTCTCTCCTTTTCTTTTGTGTTCTCTTTTCTTCTCTTCTCGCCTGTTCTTTACTCTTGTGTTCTCTTCTCTCTTTTCTCGTGTTCTCTTTTCTTCTTTTTTTCTCTTGTGTTTTCTTCTCTTCTCTTCTCTTCTCCTCTCTTCTCTTCTCTTCTCTTCTTCTCTCATCTCTTCTCTTCTTTTCTCTTCTCTTCTCTTCACTTCTCTTCTCTTGCAGATGCGTGATGTACAGAATGAATACCTGAACAGGTTTATTGGAGCCTGTATTGATGCTCCTAATACCTGTATTCTGACTGAGTACTGTCCCCGGGGCAGCCTGCAGGTACTCACAGTGCTTTCACAAACAGTCATACACCCTTCACACACAGAGCATTCTCACAGAAACACACACAACCTCAAATATTGTTGCTGTCCAAGAAAACATCATTGAAGTGAATTTCCCTTGCATTATGACTTTATGATCATCAAATAGTGGCCCTCAGGCCAGATCCCAAAGTGCCCTAACTTTTGCACGTTCTATGTTTTATTTTTTACTGCGCCCCCCGCTATGTTACAACAGTAATTGTGCATTAACTGTGCAGAAGTATGTTCTCTGTAGAGGACGCATTATCTTATTTTTACTTATACATTAAACAGACCATATAATTTGATGGGGTGCCCAAACATTTGCATGCAACTGTGTAGTAACAAACACTCACAGCTCTGTTATTTTGTTTAACAGCATTTCAGAATTAAATGCCTCCGTATCCAAGAGCCCAAGAGAGCGTAACTGTCCTCTCTCTCTCTGGGCGGGTAGGATGGTCCTCCCTCTACCCTCATCACTCAGCATGTTGCTAGCTAATGCAGGCATCTATTAGTTGACATAACCGAATTGACAGTTAGCATTCTCCTCCAAGTGTGTTGAGCTGTCCAGTGATGTTATGTTAGCGGTTAGCACATGCTAGCACTCACCCTCCCAGTACAATGCCATTTTGGGTGACCTTTATTTTGAGGGGTCCTTTTTAGATAAAACAAACACTCAACAGACTCTCAGTAACATGTCAGAAACATGCGAGGGTTAGGATTAGGGCTAGGGTGAGGGTTAGGTTTTGGGTTAAGGTTAAGGTTAGGATTAGGGTTAGGATTAGGGCCAGGGTGAGGGTTAGGGTTAGGTTTTGGGTAAGGTAGGGTAAAATAAGGTTTTGTGTACTGGAAGTAACATATCAACAATACATCTACTTAATGTAAGTAATGTATCAACAGAACATCTACAAGATATTTACTTACAATACAGTGTATTGAGATGCTTCACTACAGCTACTTCACTGATATGTTGTTGATGTGTTACTGATAATCTGATAAGAGTTTATTAATCATCTACAAAGGACCACTCTAAATAAAGTGTTACCCCATTTTATGATAGGAGGGAGACCTACTTAGCAGGTGGAACTGGCAATGACTAAATATTTTTTATCATAGAAAAAGAACACTACCTAGACCCAAGATGAAGGACAGGTACTATTTGGTTCCACCTTGTTAGGCCTTTTTCCTAACATTTAGCATTGCTTTTATAGAACACAAAATTTGGTGCTAAATGATTCAAAGGATGTCTGTCTCCTGTTTTTCTCCACATTGTCTGTCCTTTCATGCACACATTTGGACACACATTTAATCAAGTATGAATGTCATTCAGCCTGTGTGAGTGTGATACAGAATTTAATGCATATCAACCATATGTGACTTTCAGCTCCTTATGACCTTGTTTTTGAGTGAATTCCTGCAGCGTGAGCTCAGTTATAATAGTAAATGGTTGAAATTGTGTGGTTGTGTGGTTGTGTGTGTGTGTGTGTGTGTGTGTGTGTGTGTGTGTGTGTGTGTAACCCACAGGACCTGATGGAGATTGAGAGCATCACATTGGACTGGATGTTTCGCTATTCTCTGATTAATGACATTGTTAAGGTCAGTGTACTGTACAGGTCTTTTATGTTCATCTAGACTCTAAAAGCATTGCTTTAAGGGATGTAAGGAACTATGCTATAGTGTGTAGAGAATAATTGACCTGTTCAAGGGCATGAAAACTATGCTGTGCATCATAATTTGTGTCTGTAGATCTGCGTATACCTGTAGGTCAATTGAATGAAATTATGAACCTTTAGAAACTACAGCTATTCTTGTCATTTTGCTATAAGTTTATGTTGCATGTTTATTGTAAGGCTGCCATGCGAGTAAAATAACAAATTGCAATTAACTGCAATATATGGTGTACTGAAACACGACTTAGTGACTGAAATACGACCCCACAGACAGATTTATAAAGCGGTGCATTACGGCTACATCACTGGACAAAATAAGCTTAATCAGTGTTTTTTACTTCAAATCAATTAAATTCAATTCAATAATATTATTTTCATCACATAAACGCAGCATCTGCGTCACTGATGTCATTGGGTGACCTTGACTCAAATTCCATGTCTGTTAGCTCGGACCTTGTTGGTCAGTAGCTGGTGATTGAGGGACATAGATAATGTTGCCATATAGATTAAATTCAGAATAGGGCTGTATGATTAATACTTATTGTTATCATGACGAGTTTCCACAATAGGCTGTGAGAACAGATCAATTCACTTGCATAGCACCAGAGTGACATAATGATGTAGCGCTGGAGCAAGCGAAGAGCAAGTGACTTAACCACTCTGCTAAAGAGCCAATTACTAAGCTCACAAGCACAGCTGAAAAACTACTCTACGCTTAACTACAAGCCTGTAAAAATGCTAAAATTGTGATTATTCTCACTCTCAGTGTGAAGCAGTAATGTCTATTGCCACAACAAATGTGAATCACCACACGATTTTGAATATAGAATATAATATTTATAATAAATGCATATTTAATGTTTATATTCATTTGTTGTTGTAGGCATATATAGAAAAAGCTGTTCATGGAATGCTGACTGGTTTGCTTTAAAGTGCAAAAAATGTGCTTGTAATTATGATATAAGTGGCTATTAGGATTTGTTTTGGGGGGCAGTTAATGGTGCATTTGTAATTTTGCATTGTTGATATTTGCTTAAAGGAAAGGTTCATTAGGTTTCTTAACACAGCTTATCCTAAAGCATCCTTATCGTACAACCCTAATTCATAAAGTAACAAATAATTTAACAAGAAAGAACAAACTAAGTGTATATAGCCTGTATTGTCTCATGAATCAACAATAAATGTACTCTTAGATTCTACTATACTTTAATAAATATCATATAAAAGCCTGACATATACTATCTTGAACCATAATATTCACCCTATGTATCGGAACATTAATATGCCATAGGCTATACATCCACTTCTATGAATGGTAAGAAAATAACATTGATTCATCTTTCCAGTACGTAGAGTGGGGAGGTTTGCAAGACCACACATAAGAGCAGGGCTGGATCTGAGTGAGAATAGCCTGTGAGATGAATATCTCAGATATTTGTAGCTAATGGGAGCTTTCAGATTTGTGATTTTGAATGAGTAATGCCAGATCTTCATTTCACAGGGTATGGCATTCCTCCACAACAGTGTGATCATCTCCCATGGCAACCTGAAGTCCTCCAACTGTCTGGTAGACAGTCGCTTTGTGGTGAAGATCACAGACTACGGCCTGACCAGCTTCCGCAAGGAGAGCAACTTGGAGGACACACACGCTTTCTACGCACGTGAGCGACATAAACCTGCAACACACACACACTGAAAAAGGAAGAATCACTTCCAGCAGCACTGCAGCAGGCATGTGGGCGAGTGTGTGACCAAACGTCCCCACAGTTATAGGAGAGAATGCAGATTGTAATGTTTTATGGACATTTTGCTTTTAGTTAAGAAATAAACAGACTTACAATTGGATCTGAATTGGATTGAAGGCTAAAGCGTTAGTTTGGCAATAAATGACCAATTTTCTTTTAATGTTTGGGCAAAAGGACAAATTTGGCCATCTAGATGTCTGCAGCTACTGTTTTAGCTATGTGAAACACTTTTGTCCATGTTTATGTATAACAGTATGTCATACAGTGTCAGAAACCACATAAGAAAGTCTATTTGAGATTACTTAACAGCGCTACATGGTTTGAGACAAGCGTGGTGATTCAGGCATGCTGTTAGCACAGTGCTAATTGGTGGGGTGAGAGCTTCCATTACTTAAAAGGTGGCAAATAAAGGGGAATAATTGAATAAATGAGGTGTACTATATGATACAATTAATCCCTTAAATGGCTAGGACCCAAAGATGGGCCCAGAGTTTTATTATACACTTGTATAACCTAATCTAGTTACTGAATAATAAGGTTTAGTATGTGACTCACCTGGGATTTCACTGGGTTATGCATTTAACATCCTAAAAATGCTCTGTGGCATGTATAAAAATGCTGAGAAGGCCCAGCTGACCTCTATTTTGGATCAAGAGGGCAAGAAGAAAGATTGAGTTTGAAAGAGGGTTCATCTTTGAGGCAGGGATGGCAGGAGCTTCAGTCACAAATACTGCTCAACCAGCTAGTGTTTCAGTAGGAACAGTGACTAAAGTAACATTTAGATCTGTGTGAAAGACGTCAGTAAATAGTGTTGGACACTGTGGTTTAAAGCACACATTCAATGAGCGAGATACTCGTGCATTAATATGATATGTAGGCAAGAACAGAGGAGCAGCTGTTCCTCAGGTGACTGACAGTGTCAGTGCAGGACGTCACTAGATCGTCAGCAAGAACAGTCCATCCACAACTACATTCAGAGTGATATTATAGGAAGGCTACAGTGTATAAACCCCTCATTACAAAGACGATGCACATTTGAGAGTTCAGTAAGCTCTGGTCTACAGAGATGTGAGAAAAAAGTGATCTGATCAGATTGTCCACCTTGTTCTCCACAATGGGAGAGTGTCTGTGCAGCATATACCAAGAGAATGGAACAGGCCTGAATGCTTGACCCCTACAGTGAGGGGGTTTTGTTGGCTCTGCTATGCTGTGGAGAGGGTGTTTTGTTGCCATGATTTGGGTCTACTTGTCCCCTTAGAGGGAAGGGTCACTGAAAATCAGTGCAAAGTTATTTTGACTTACCGCCTTTACACAGTGATGGTGAGATCCTATCCTGATGGGATACAACCTCTATCTACAAAACGCCAACTGAAGGGATAAGTTTTGGAAGAATGGGGTTCCAGCCTTCCAGTAGACTTCCAGAGACTTGCATGTCAAAACATGTTGAAGCTGTTCCAGCAGCTCGTATTGGACCAACTTTTTACTAAGACACTTTATTCAGGTTTTCTTTTCATTTGTTGCCAAAACTAAAGCAGCCAAATATGTTCTGGCTGATTGACTACTGGGGTGAAATGATGTAAATGAGATTTTTTTGCCCAGCTGTTGCTTTAAAGTTAGAGTTGAACGCTGCAGTGTTTAGCTACAGTAATGGATTTGCCAGCGGAAACTCAGCATAATAATAGTCATATGTGTGTCTGTGTAGGAAAGCTGTGGACAGCTCCAGAGCTGCTGCGTGATGAGAACAGGCCGCCCTGTGGTACGCAGAAGGGAGATGTGTACAGCTTCGGCATCATCCTACAGGAACTGGCTCTGCTCAAAGGAGTCTTCTACCTGGATGGCCCACCTCTCAGCCCTAAAGGTTAGACACACCTTCAGTCCTCTAATCACTATTTCCTACATTGAAAAATGAGTAGCACTATATGGAACACAATTATAAGGAACAGAAATGGATCCTAATCACTGTTCCCTACATTGAAAAGTCAGCAGCACTATATAGAACACTATTGTAGGGAGCAGAAATGGCCCTCAGTCAATATTCCCTACATTAGAAAAACAAGAGCACTGTATAGAACACTATTATAAGGAACAGAAATGGTCTCTAATCACTATTCCCTACATTGAAACACTAGAACACTAGAATTATTGGAAGTAGAAATTAGTTCTATATGATTAATCATAAAGAGGGGACTAATCACTATTCACTACATTAGGAAATCAAGAGCACTATATAGAATGCTAATTTAGGGAACCGAAAGGCTAGGTTCACATTACCAGGCTGAAGTGGCCTCTTCGATCTGAACGTTCTCATTAAGGTCGTATGGCCACAAAACGGATAAGTGTCCGATACAGAACCACATATGAAAGTAGCCCGGGTCGGATTTGAAAAGATCAGATTAGTATGTCCATTCAGCTCTGAAAACAACAGATCTGTGACGCATTAAGGGAAAAATCTGATTTATGCCACTTCAGTCTGGTAATATGAACATAGCCAAAATGGTCCCCTTGTACTATTCTGCACACAGTAGGAACACTAGAACTCTATTATAGGGAACACAAATGGTTCCTAATCACTGTTCTCTATATTAGAAAATCAGTAGCACTATGTAGACCTATATAGTGCTCCGTATTGACAGCACTATCCTCCTGGTTAACAGGACTTTCATGTTCACATTTGCCATGAAAGTCCTGTTAACCAGGATGTGACGTCCTCAGCCTGAATGGCCAGCAGCCCTTTAATTTCTAAATCATGTACAAAATACACTCCCATGCAAAAACATGCGCCAAGCCCAAAATGGCACAACATTAGGTATCAATTATTCTCTATAGCGTTTAAATCTGGACTCTGTCCAGGCCAAAACTAGTAAACGTCATTAGTAATTTGGGCAGTGCACAACACTTTTCTCACACAATAACTGAAAACCTTCCTGTAGAAACATCATCACAGACCGCTGCATCACATTTTGCTCTAGCAGCCACACAAGCATGAAGTACACTCTAAAGAAAGATGGTTCTTAGGGTTGTTTAGTAAAGAAAATGGTTCTACATACAGGGAGATTCACTCGAAAGAGGCCCGAATATTCTGTTGTAACTCCCTTTAGGATGAAGCGATCTGAACCAAAACATACGCTACGTACCTTGATGTATGTGTAATCGACTGCGTTATATGCGGTGCTGGAAGTGATCTCCGTTTTCTGCCAGACACATGAAGGGGTACGGGGGTATGCACCCGGAAGTTGCAAACAGAGGTTAAATGGCTGTCCAGTGCCTACCTCATCACTCCGACGCAGGGGCATCCTGGCTTGTTCGAAGCTCCGTATACTGAGGAGCACATTGCACATTGTTTCGTTCAGATTGCTTTGTCCTAGCGAGAGTTATTACAGAATATTCGGGGCCTCTTTCGAGTGAATCTCCCTGTAGAAACATGAACACTCAAAGAACCTTTTGCAAGATTACAGGGTTCCTTGCCTCATGAAAGAGTCCTTCAGATTGATGGATAAATGCATAAATGTGCTACTAATGGTTCTATATAATAATATGTTATATAAATTATAAAAATTATATATTGAACTGGACAGCTGGGATAGGTTCCAGCACCCCACCGCGACCCAGAAGGATAAGCGGTTTAGATGATGTATGTATGTATGTATATTGAAATGGGTTCTATGTAGCACTGAAAAGGGTTCTTCTATTGTTACAAGCTTGACATCATAACAATAGAAGAACCCTTTTCTACAGCACATTCTCCATCAATCTGATGAATCCTTTCATGATGCAAAGAACCCATTAATCCTACAAAGTGTTTTTTGAGTGTTCATGGTTCTGTATAGAACCGTTTTCTTTACTGAAGAACCCTTGAAGAACCATCTTTTTTTAAGAGAGTAGCTGTTTTTGCTGGTTCTTTTGAGCGGTATTTCACTAGAACCATACAAAATAAACGCCTGTGATGTTTTACAATCCTGAACTCGCTGTAAAAACAACAGGAGCCGCTGCATTATCGACATTCCTGGTAATGTGTCGGCTTCTGTTCACACATGAATCCTCCTGGTAATTTCAGGGAAATTGTTCTAGGTCTTGTGCATTTGAATTACCACATCAGTCTTACTGGGATTTACTTGCGTTTGCACTGAACCCTCCCGTTTAATTACCCGTGTAAAGGTGCATGTGTGAAACAGACTCATTACAGGAACACAAATAGCTCCCAATCACTAATCAATGTGCTGGAAAATCATAGTGCACTATAGATCATAGTTTATAATGCGTAGTCACTGATGCCCAGCAGTGTGGCTGTCAGGATGTAGAAGGTGTTCTGTTTTAAGCGTGAGTGCCCAGGATGTGACAGGAGGAAGAATGCACTCATTACACTGGAGAGAGGGTCTGCATTCTAATTGGACGTTTGAATGTGGAACTGTTTAGCATTAATAAGACTGTTTATCACACTGTGTCTACGAGGCTAATTACAGCAGCTGCTCCAGTCACAGCCCTGTCTTCAGCACCTTCACCTCATCTCACCTCTGTATCCCCCCTTTCCTCCTCCGCCTCTCTCCTCAGCTCCTCACCTCTGTATCCCCCCTTTCCTCCTCCGCCTCTCTCCTCAGCTCCTCACCTCTGTATCCCCCCATTCCCCTCCGCCTCTCTCCTCAGCTCCTCACCTCTGTATCCCCCCGTTCCCCTCCGCCTCTCTCCTCAGCTCCTCACCTCTGTATCCCCCCATTCCCCTCCGCCTCTCTCCTCAGCTCCTCACCTCTGTATCCCCCCCATTCCCCTCCGCCTCTCTCCTCAGCTCCTCACCTCTGTATCCCCCCGTTCCCCTCCGCCTTTCTCCTCAGCTCCTCACCTCTGTATCCCCATCCGTTCCCCTCCGCCTCTCTCCTCAGCTCCTCACCTCTGTATCCCCATCCGTTCCCCTCCACCTCTCTCCTCAGCTCCTCACCTCTGTATCCCCCCATTCCCCTCCGCCTCTCTCCTCAGCTCCTCACCTCTGTATCCCCCCTTTCCCCTCCACCTCTTTGCTCAGCTCCTCACCTCTATATCCCCCCGTTCCCCTCCGCCTTTCTCCTCAGCTCCTCACCTCTGTATCCCCCCTTTCCCCTCCACCTCTCTCCTCAGCTCCTCACCTCTGTATCCCCATCCGTTCCCCTCCGCCTTTCTCCTCAGCTCCTCACCTCTGTATCCCCATCCGTTCCCCTCCACCTCTCTCCTCAGCTCCTCACCTCTGTATCCCCCCATTCCACCTCTGCCTCTCTCCTCAGCTCCTCACCTCTGTATCCCCCCGTTCCCCTCCACCTCTCTCCTCAGCTCCTCACCTCTGTATCCCCCCATTCCCCTTCGCCTCTCTCCTCAGCTTCCCACCTCTGTATCCCCCCTTTCCCCTCCACCTCTCTCCTCAGCTCCTCACCTCTGTATCCCCATCCGTTCCCCTCCGCCTCTCTCCTCAGCTCCTCACCTCTGTATCCCCATCCGTTCCCCTCCACCTCTCTCCTCAGCTCCTCACCTCTGTATCCCCCCATTCCCCTCCGCCTCGCTCCTCAGCTCCTCACCTCTGTATCCCCCCATTCCCCTTCGCCTCTCTCCTCAGCTTCCCACCTCTGTATCCCCCCGTTCCCCTCCGCCTCTCTCCTCAGCTCCTCACCTCTGTATCCCCTCATTCCCCTCTGCTTTCCTCCTCAGCTCCTCACCTCTGTATCCCCCCGTTCCCCTCTGCCTCTCTCCTCAGCTCCTCACCTCTGTATCCCCATCCGTTCCCCTCCGCCTCTCTCCTCAGCTCCTCACCTCTGTATCCCCCCGTTCCCCTCCACCTCTCTCCTCAGCTCCTCACCTCTGTATCCCCCAATTCCCCTTCGCCTCTCTCCTCAGCTTCCCACCTCTGTATCCCCCCGTTCCCCTCCACCTCTCTCCTCAGCTCCTCACCTCTGTATCCCCATCCGTTCCCCTTCGCCTCTCTCCTCAGCTCCTCACCTCTGTGTTTGTGTCTGATGTTCGGTAATGAGCTTCCGCTTTTATCCTCCTTATTTACATTCCTCCTCTGTCAGCAGCTCTCGCTCCGCTACACCACTTACACACTGACAATCTGCCATCCATTCACATACCACTGATATATATATATATATATATATATAGAGAGAGAGAGAGAGAGAGAGAGAGAGAGAGAGAGTGACAGAGACAGTGAGAGAGAAAGAGGGAGAGAAAGAGAGAGACAGGGGGAGAGAGAGAAAGAAAGAGAGTGAGGAAGAGAGAGACAAAGAGAGAGCGAGAAAGAGGGAGGAAGAGCGATGGAGATGTTTGATATTTTGAAGCTCTCCACTATGAATTACAAAATTTGAACTCTGCTTATTTTAAGAATGCAAAGTTTTGGACTTGATTTTAAAGCGAGACATCAGTATAAAATAAAAAAAGAGGGAGAAAGAAAGGAAGAGAGAGAGGCAGGAAGAAAGGGAGGAAGAGAGAAGGGGAGAGAGAGAAAGAGGGAGGAAGAAAGACAGAAAGAGACAGCAACATCGAGAGAGAGAGAGAGAGAGAGAGAGAGAGAAGACAGAGGGCAGAAAAAAGTGAAAGAGAGCAGTCCAGAGAGAGAAACAGGGCAGAGACAGAGGAACAGAGGAAGAGTGAAAGAAGGAGAGAAACAAAAGAGAGAAGTGGCAGAGAGAGAGACAGAAACAAGCAGAGAGAAAGAAACAGAGAAAGGAGAGAGAGGGGGAGAGAGAGAAAGAAAGGAAGAGAGAGAGAGACAGAAAGAGAGGGGAGAGAGAAAGACAGGGAGAAAGAGAGGGGTGAGATAACGAGAGAGAGGAAGAGAGAGACAGAAAGAGAAAGCAACATAGAGGAAGAGAGAGAGAGAGAAGACAGAGGGCAGAAAAAAAGAGTGAGAGAGGGAGCGGTTAAGAGAGAGAGCAACAGGGCAGAGAAAGAGAGACAAAAAAAGAGAAAGTGAGAGGCGGCAGATCAAGCATACACAAGAGACACATTTCTGGCACAGCGCCAGGTGATGAGTAGAGCGGAGGGAGTTGAAGGTGGTAATGAAAGAATGCCATAGGAACTGTAATGAAAAGCGAGGAGGGAGGGAGACACAGAGTGACACGTACAGAGAGAGAGAGGGAGAGAGAGAGGAGACAACGTTCAGACACAAATGGAGGAGCACTGACAGAAGACGAGGTGGAGCAGAGATCAGAGAACCTGAACAGATGAGGCAGAAAGGAAAGAAGTAGCAGCGTGTGGTTCAGTGCAGGGACGTGTTCGAGTGATCAGATATTCAGTTAATCGTTCCAGGTGCCGGTATCTAAACGCTGATACCACTGTGATTTGTTACACAGCATGAGTGGAAGACAGAAAGAAAACATGACATCAAGTTACGTCAGTTTACCGTGTTTGGGTTTTATGAGGTGGTACATGTGGCTAGTAACAAGGATGAGTGAAAAAAGTTCTGTATTGAATTTATTTGATTAAAATGTATACATAATTTCCCTTTATCAAAGTATATGTTGTTGGGAGAGGGTTTCACACGTACAAGAAATATATCTCTGCTGTCGGAAGAAAACCTCGTATCTCCAAAATGACCACCTCTGAGGAACAGGATAAAACATACTTGACTCTTAACGTAAGTCAATGGAACCAGACTTTTTTCCTGGTCATTTCAGGCCGTTTCTTTTGGTCCATTCATCATGAAATTTACACACAATGTAAAGAACAACAGGCGTTTTCAAACTACGTCAAAAACTGGAAAATGACAAAAATGGACATACGAGGTTTTCTTCCGACAGCAGAGATATAATATGTATATGTAAGAAATATATAAATATATAAAGGCACAGTAGGTAGCACTTTCGCCTCACAGCAAGAAGGGCCTGGGTTCGATTCCCCAGCCGGGCGACCAGAGTCCTTTCTGTGTGGAGTTTGCATGTTCTCCCTGTGTCTGTGTGGGTTTCCTCCTACAGTCCAAAGACATGCAGTCAGGCTAATTGGAGAAACTAAATAGCCCCTGGTGTGAGTGTGTGTATGTTTGTGTGTCTATCCTGTGATGGACTGGCGACCTGTCCAGGGCGTTTCCTGCCATCCGTCCAATGACCCAGGAGGATAAGCGGCTTAGAAGATGAATAAATGAATATAAATATATAATATGTTAATATTATGATTAATATCACCTTTATTAGCAAAGTAAAAATGTGGTTTTTATTAACATTAGCCATTAATTTTTTCCAAAACTTGTTATATCCGAAATGGACATCAAGCATTTTGGAATTAATCTCTTAATATGTATATCAGTATTACAGTATAGATACATATCGCTGCTGTTGGAACAAAACCTCGTATCTCCATTTTTGTCGTTTTTCAGTTTTACACATATTTTAAAAATGCCTGTTGTCCTTTACATTGTATGTAAATTTCATGAGGAATGGACCAAAAGAAATGACCCAAAATTACTTGGAAAAAAGTCTGGTTCCATTGACTTACATTGCAAGTAAAGTATGTTTTTTCCTTCTCCTGTAAAGTTGGCATTTTGGAGATACAAGATTTTGTTCCGACAGCAGCGATATACAAATAACCATTTAGGCTCATGCGCCTTCCACCATGTGAGGGGATCGCTCTCCCTGTCAGCTTTATGAAGGTTAAATTAGTGTACATTCAGTGGAATTTGTATTTAAGAGTTCACTGTTCACTGCAAACCATAAGTGCTTTAAAGTGAACGGAAATATTTTCAGCTTTCTTTTTATGTTGTTAGTTAATATCGTTATTGCAAATTATAAATAATGTGATATTATTTAAAGGCCATGTCACCCACCCCCATCCTCTACTCGTTGTTGCTTAGTCTGTTATATAGTTTGTATAGTTTACTTTAATTTCTGTGTAATCAAATGGTTATGATGTAAACGAAGTCATTCAGAGTGGTTTGGTGTGAAATGCTATGTTATAGAGACATTCATCGACTTACAGTGGTGGTGGTAGGAACCAGACATCTGAAGAGTTTACAAAATGCCCAATGCCATTTTAAAAAGTGTGTGTTTGTTAAAATGCATTCATGGAGGAGAGGTGCATGCAGGATGTGAGGAAAAATAGTACCCAAAGAAAATGTTTTCTTTCAGATTTACTATTTTACCATCATCAACATTACAAATAAAAATTCAGAAGACACATCGGTTCACCAGTCGTTGTGGACAGAGTAAATGAAATTTGCACCACCTCTGTAAAGAAATCAGAGTTGGTACACTTCTCTACATTTCACATCAGACCACTCTGAATGACTGCTGACACTGAGTTCTGCAGAAACCTTTAAAAAATCTGTGAAATGCCCATTTAAATGTAGGCCTGGATTACAGAGAAACTACATTTCTTCCCTCACTCATCACGTCTGTGGTGAGAAGGAATGAAATTGACTTTAAAATATAAAATACAGTCATGTGCAAAAGTGATAGACAGTCAAGAGCATCGTTTAAAACTATTTTGGCAGAAAGTATGTTTTTTCTGTAAAAAAACAAATAAACACAAATACAGTATAAACATAGTAGGAATTTTTTGGGTTTTTTTAAGTTATTAAAGGCCCCATATTTTAATGTTCTTTTATTTTTATTTTTTTCCCCTGAGCTCCACTGATAACATTTGCTTGGGATCAAGAACAAAAAACAGTCATAATTCATTTCTTCATGACCATTTTCCCACGTCTTAGAAATAAACAGGCTGTTTTTGTTGCTGTGCCTTAAAGACTGATATATGTAAAGGAGCTCTTTTCTGATTGGCTGACCTGCATTGTGCTTCATTCAGAAAGCAGCCCAGGTTAAACACTCCTCATAGCTTCAGTGTGAATAAACAAGGCTAAACTGTAGGCTGAATAGTCAGATATAAGGAAATATATTGATTTTTATGACATCACAAAAACAGTAGGTTGAAAACAGGCTGTTTTGCAGCTTAGTTTCCATACATGGACTTTGCAAACTGGGCACATCTTGAAACTTTTACACATTTTGAAAGTTTACAGCCCACATTAAACACTTTTATTTAAAAAAAGTGAGACATTTTGGCTTTACATGATATAGGGCCTTTAATATGTCCCTTAGAGGAATACAGTTAGATCAGGCATGTCAACCTGGGGACCTTCTGGGCCAAAGTGCTGTGGAGATCAGCTTCATTAATACTCTGAATTCAGTTCATGAATTCCTTGCCAATTAACTGATGAGCTGAATCAGGTGTGTTTAATGAGGCAGTGTGCTGAAGTCTGCAGTGTTGTGGCCCGCGAGGACTGGAGCCTGACTCATGTGAGTTAGAAAAGCACAGGTAAAATGACGATAATAAGTTTAATAAGACCATAAGGGTCCTTAGACTTACTTATATTACACTGTTTATATAATACATATGATTTACCATGATGGGCAAACGGATGCTTTGTGCTTTCCGGGTAGAAACTGATGTGGCCTACATCCAGTGATCTTCTCATTGTTCACCCTGCACAGATGATTTCAAATGATCCACTTTCTTCCACTTTGTCATTCTACAGGGACAAAGCCTGACAGCATGGCTCTATCTGAGGGCACAAAGGATGTAATATCAGATCACTGTGCTGCTGAATTATACTAGATTATGGTCCAGAGAGGAGTTATAATATTAATATTTGTATTTGTATGTGTATAATAACATGTAAATCACCTGCTTTGTCATACTCGTGTCTCTCTCTCTCTCTCTCTCTCTCTCTCTCTCTCTCTCTCTGTATCTTTGTGTTTGTATATCAGAGATTGTGGAGCGAGTAGCTGAAGGCCGCTGGCCGTATCTGCGTCCACTTCTGTGCTCACAGAGCCACAGTGAGGAGCTGGGCCAGCTGATGCAGCGCTGCTGGTCAGAGGACGTCAACGAGAGGCCAGATTTTCACCAAATCAAAGTGCTGCTTCACAAGCACAACAGGTGCCTAAGAGCCATCCAGCACTCTCTGCTCCTGCAGTCACTCTAGAGCTGTGTATTTTTAAGAATCAGGGCAGCAGGGGGCACTTAGGGGGCTTCAGAAACATCTCAAAAGTTGTGTCACTACTTAGTAAGTTTTTATCAGTTTATTAAATCTGTTTCGGCCATATCTGAAAAAAGTGGTACTTGTTTAAAAATGGTAGATGTTATTTAAGCAATAGAACACGAGAGGGAGGGTGTTATTGCGAAATAACATCATGGCTGTAGATCATCACAGACGTGATGTTATTTGTGATAACGCACTCCCTCTTGTGTTCTGTTGCTTTTATGCAACAGTTAAATAAATAAAGTAATAAATTAATAAACTGGCTGTGAACGCGGCGTTTAATATGTTTTAATGTTCACAGTTCCTTCTGCCAAATTATAGTGTCTCAACAAGCAGCTTGTTGCTACGTCAGAGTAACGGGCTCCGCCCACTCGCTGCACAGTCTGCTGTAAGCCTCACCTTTTGAAGTACAAACTAAGCCATAAAACTGCCGCAATATCAAGTTTAGCTCAGTTTTGTCATTTTTTGCCAGATCAGTATTAATGTTGTTTTGTTCCAGCCAGTCTGTAAAGCATCTTACAGCCCGTTTAGTTTGGTGAACGGTATTGGGTTCATTTCTGGCTGATTCCAGGTTGTTTAGCTGTTCTTCTGTCACAGCTGCCGACTGAAAAGCTGCTCAGTGGTGATGACAGTTTGGGAATTTAGTGTCGTCTCATCTTCAGAGTCTGACCAAATCGGCTGTCCGTCAAATGTGATCTTAAAAGTGTCCATTTTCTGTTTGTGGCAAAGTAAGAAGTAAAAACGTTCAAATGGCTTGAGCGTCTCCTACAGCTGTCAATGTTGTCGCGTAGCAACGGCGTCTCAGCGGAGTGATACAGTGTTTGTGAAAAAACAGTTAGAACGCTTCTCAACCAATCAGCTTGTGTAGCCAGAACTAACTGTTGTGTAATAAACATTATTAAAATGTGACAGTCACATTTCACAGCCGTAGCGCAGCCACTAAACAAGTTGTCCGTAATGTCATAGCGCTCCGTCTCTTGTACAGTCGCGAACAAAATGACGTTTTGCTGATTTTGTAAGCAAAAATAAGTTACACATCCTCGACAGAGAACACACTCCTGCACACTTTCATACTGTATATCTGCTGAATGTGAGATAAAATCATAAAATGTGGCCTGTGAAAAAGTTATGGCATATTTAATATATTTTATGCTGTCTGTAAAGCACTTTAAGCTGCCACTGTTATGAAAAGTACTGTATAAATAAAGATCTATATTTTTTCATAGGCCATATTTCAATGTGCTCTCTGTAGAGGATTATGTTAACTTATTTTCAAATCAACAAAGTATGTAATTTGACATGGATTGTTCAAACGTTTGCATATGATTGTATGTGCAGGTCATCAATTCTGGTTCTTATAAGACCTGGTTAAGTAAAAGTAATGACTGGGAGGGCAAGGAAGGGGCACAGTGGCACTTACTATTAGGGCTGAACGATTTTAGGGAAAATATCGAATTGCAATCTTTCTGACCAATATTGCAATTACGATTTAAATGCAGTTATCAAAAAACATAATATATAAATGAATGTAAATTATGCACAAATGTGAGAGAGACTGGAGAGTAAATACTATTAGAAAATATCTAACTGCATTTTTTATATTGTGTTTGCGATTTAAGTGCAATTATTTTCCATAAATTAAGCTCCAGACATTTTGGAGTTGAGGCTTGAATGCTGTGTGCCAGACTGCCAGTTAGTAAGCTCTGCCTTAACTTCTTAAGAGAACACAGAATCTGATTATTGTGAGCTATAAGTACAGTTGCAAACATTGCACTTTTGAAAATTCCAATTGCGAGTTCTTTTGAAAAATCATTAATTATTCTGCCCAACTTACGATCCACACAGGTGGTCTTAGACTATAAAATAGGACTGCTGGTACAGGGCGCCCACCCATCCCACAGTCTGGGATATTGAAGGTTTGCACGTACTGTGAAAAATAAAACAATATTAAAGATAATTAGGAGAAAAGATATATTTTTTTTAAGTCTTCTGTGCAAAAATTTAGAAAATATGTATAAAAATTGTGTTCCTATAATTCTTCACTCCATATCTGCTCTCTAAATGCCGTCATTAAGGAAATGACTGGTTTAAATAAGTGAAGGCAATGCACAGCCAAACATGTGGATGTGAGGTTCAAGAAAATAAAGAAATTGATTGAAAAAAAAAAAGCTTATTTTAAAAAAAAGCTGATTTTGATATGGTTCAAAATGTAATGTCCTATATATAACGCCCAGTAAGTGCATTTATGATTTCTGCTTCATACAACAACTGTTTATAGCTTGTATATATTAGTCCTTTTCAAGAAGTGTATTCGCCTATTTTACTGTCAATTTCATTTGTGGCACTGAATGTAAATATTCTGTTATGACCATCTACAGCAGGTTATGTACTGTGCACTGGACTTTGAGATTTGTAATGAGTACTTTGATGGTTTAAATGGACATATATAAGGAGTAGAATTATGTTTTTCCTCTTGGGAATTTAACATAGTATAAGGACAACTAACTAGTAGCAGTTACTTAAGCATTTTTCTCCCCTGGACTCAGTGACAGTGAATATGGTTAATGATTCAGTTCCTTCAAACCATAAAACTTTGGAGAAAATAGTACAAAAGGATTGGTGATAGATTTTTCCCCTTCCAAGGTACCAGGAACACTGTTTCAGATCTGATCATATCACTGGGAAACGTACTATACTATTCACTGCCGTCTCTAACACTCTCCTCTCTCTGTCTGCAGAGGCTACGGCTCCAACATCCTGGATAACCTACTGTCTCGCATGGAGCAGTACGCTAATAACCTGGAGGAGCTGGTGGAGGAGAGGACGCAGGCGTACCACGAGGAAAAACGCAAAGCTGAAGCGCTGCTCTATCAGATCCTGCCTCAGTGAGTGCAGTCTGGCCTCTTCATCCAACTCTCAGCCTTTTATTGTGAATTTGAGTGACTGTTTAGTTTCCCATTGGTTTTAATTCTTCTCTTCAGTGAATTTTAACTTTTGAGTCCTGGTTCTTCTCAGTGGTTCTTCCTCATGCTCTTAGAGTTTCTCCATTTGAGTCTTGGTTCCTCTCAGTAGTTCTCCATTATACTCTTATGGAATTCTCCTTTTGAGTCTTGGTTCTTCTCAGTGGTTCTTCCTCATGCTCTTAAGGTTTCTCCATTTGAGTCCTGGTTCTTCTCAGTGGTTCTTCCTCATGCTCTTAGAGTTTCTCCATTTAAGTCTTGGTTCCTCTCAGTAGTTCTCCATTATACTCTTATGGAATTCTCCTTTTGAGTCTTGGTTCCCTTCAGTGGTTCTTCTTCATGCTCTTAAACGAATTTCTCCATTTGGGTCTTGGTTCCTCTCAGTGGTTCTTCCTCATGCTCTTAAAGGAACTTCTCTTTTTGAGTCTTGGTTCCTCTCAGTGGTTCTTCCTCATGCTCTTAAAGGAACTTCTCTTTTTGAGTCTTGGTTCCTCTCAGTGGTTCTTCCTCATGCTCTTAAAGGAACTTCTCTTTTTGAGTCTTGGTTCCTCTCAGTGGTTCTTCCATCACACTCTTAAAGAATTTCTCCTTTTGAGTCTTGGTTCCTCTCACTGGTTCTTTGTCATGTTCTTAGGCAGCTGCACTCGTTTCTTTAAAGCTGCTTTGAATCAGTGTTGTTGAATGCAGCATGTAGATAAATGAAATTGAACTGAACTTTGTGTTTGTGTTGCAGTTCAGTGGCAGAGCAGCTGAAAAGAGGAGAGACCGTCCAGGCTGAGGCCTTTGACTCTGTCACCATCTACTTCAGCGATATTGTGGGTTTCACCGCGCTGTCAGCGGAGAGCACACCTATGCAGGTGACAGCTGTCAAACCTATTCAATAAGCAGTGACACCATAATGGTCAGCCAGGCCCACAGGAAATGTGGAAAAAGTCAAGATTAGTTATAGTATTGACTTTCTTACTAGCTCGGTTGGTTGTTAGGATACGGCTAATATTGTCTGTTTTCCTCCAGGTGGTGACTTTACTGAATGACCTCTACACATGTTTTGATGCCATCATTGACAACTTTGACGTTTACAAGGTAATTAACCCATTAAGGTTATGGGGGTTTCTCCTACCATTTGACTGGATCATTGATAGTTTGTCACTGAACAGAAAAAAAACAAAGAGGGGGAAATGAGATCATGGTTTGCTAGCGACGCCTTCTAACGTTAAAAACAACTGTTCTATTCAGTTTCGCTTCAGGCATGCCTTTACTGCTGTACAGCTTGTTGAGCGTTTACGGGGTGCCTCAGGCTCTCAGCATGGCAGCTGACTGTAGAGCTTGTTTGTAAACTGCGGACTGGAGCGTGTCTGTGTGGTGCCCTCAGGTGGAGACGATTGGCGATGCGTACATGGTGGTGTCTGGACTTCCTGTGCGGAACGGGAAGCTGCATGCCCGGGAGATTGCCCGCATGTCTCTTGCCCTGCTGGAGGCCGTCTACTCCTTCAGGATCCGCCATCGGCCTGACCTACAGCTGCGGCTGCGCATCGGCATCCACACCGGTGAGGGCAGAGCAGCTAATAGTTTAGCGAAAGTATTATTTTTTCTTATTTGAATACAATTTGCCCCCATTACCCCAAATATAATCCATCAACCAAGACATGTTTGGTGTCTGAAGTTCGTTCTTTAGATTTTGACCTAATTTGAAAATGCCTGTTGTCCTTTACCTTATTTGTAAATTACATGCTGAATGGACCAACAGAAATGGCCCAAAATTACTTTGAAAAAAATATTTTTCCATTGACTTACATTAAAAGTAAAGTGGGTTTTTTCCTTCTCCTGTAAAGTTACCATTTTGGAGATACAGGGTTTTGTTCCAACAGCAGCGATATGTTTGTAATAACAGTATGTCATACAGTGTCATAAACCACATAACTCAATGCAAATCAAAAAGATCTGAAGCACATCTGTAATGATTATGATCACATAGTTTGCACAATGCCTACTGGCGGTGTATTAGCCTTTAGGGTTGACTGGTGTCCAGTTTTGAGGTCCGTTGTCCATCATCTGGTTCAACAACTGTTCAATTGTAATGAACAGTTGTTGCCAAAGCAGTTAATAAAATACTTAATATAGAGACGATATTGAGGAAGAAAATAATGTATAAAAGAGTAAAATAATCAAATATTCATATCTATATATATGTGTCTATATATGCATAATGTAAAATCATACATTTATACCCCCTTACCAATAGAGATATGTAATATATGTACATACACATACATATAATATTAAATAAACAATACATTTACACAGGATCGGTTTTAGGTGCTGTTTCATTCTGTTCTCTGCATGTGTGGCAGCTGTAAACATGATTAGCTGATAGTTTAATGCATTCTGTCTCTCCTAAACACACACATAACAAATCTTCAATTTGAATCATTTTCTCTTCAAATGATGGGATGTAAGTTTTAATTGAATTGAAATAATCTTCTCTGAGATCTTTGTATTTCCTATATGAGGAGAGAAAATGTTCAGTGTGTTTTGGCTTCTTCTGGACCCTTTTTTATTTCTATTTCTCTCTCTCTCTCTCTCTCTCTCTCTCTCGCTCTCACTCTCTCTCATTCTGTCACTATCTCTCAATCGCTGAGTCGCTTGCTATCTCTGTTGCTCACACAAGGACATGCACACAGAGATTGTCAGTTGTGGGACGGGTGCTCTCTATGACTGCGTCTCAAACCACATGTACCACACTAAACCACACCTCAAATTAGTACACCACCAACAGCGCCACTGCTATTTTTAACTTATTTAGTACACTAGCATTCAGATTGAGACACAGCCGGTGTGTAGGAACATAGACCATGTTAGGCTGTGTTACAGCAAGGTTTTGGATAAATCCGTCATTTCTCATTTACAGTTAGTTTGAAAAAGCAGTTAAATAAGCATCTTTATCTTTTGCATCATTCTGCCTGCAGAAGACAGAGTAAATGAACAACAGGTTGGTTTCATGTGTTTGTGCAGTAGACTGGAAAATTTAAACATACAGCACTTAAAAAGTTCAACCTATAGTCCAGCGGAGTGTCCAGTTTTGAAATAGCTGAAATCTGGCAACCCTTCCTTCATTACTTGTTAGCAACATTAGCCTCGTAGCTCCCGTGCAAAACTAAAGGAGCAAAATTCAGACACTGGAAATATTAAATTCCTTTTAGCAGATAAAATCACATTCTTGAGAAGGGCCATAGGCTGATGTGTACAAAACACCACTGAGATGATGCTGCAGTGCTGTGGTATTTCTTGCATTCCATTCTGTTCTATTACTTATTAGCTACGCTAGCCTCGCAGCTCCAGGGTAAAACTAAACTAAAAAAGCAAAATATAGACACCAAACATGTCTCTGCTGACTACATTTGGAGTACAGGAAACTGAGTATCAATTATATTTGTCACCAAACCATAGCTTTAATGGTGAAAGACATGGTGAAAATCCATCTTAGACTTAATAAACAGATCTGAGCGAGCAATGATAACAGTAATAGCTTGTTTCTTATGGTGTGGAATGAGTTATTGGGACTGTTAAGAGAGCTTAACAGCTTGTGTTCTATGGAAAATATAGGAATATAAACAAAATATATGTGTGCATTCCCAGGTCCTGTGTGTGCTGGTGTTGTTGGGCTGAAGATGCCAAGGTATTGTTTGTTTGGGGACACAGTAAATACAGCTTCACGCATGGAATCAAATGGGGAAGGTAAGACATCAGCTGTCTTTGTGCCGTCTAAGCAATGTTTGGTCATTTCTGTGCTGATTCAGTTCTATATAGTGTGTGAAAGTCAGAGACCACCATTCATTTATTTATTTTCCAGCTATTAAGTACTTATTTTTTCAGTGATTTTTTTCAGAAGCCTAGGGAAAATTATATATATATATATATATATATATATATATATATATATATATATATATATATATATAATGTTAATGTCCTGTCATCCTTAAAATTTTCAGTTATTTGAACTTAATAATAATAACTTAATTAATAATAAGTTAATAGGGCATAAAACAGATTTTGTTCCATAACAATTTGAAATTCAATTAACTCAAAATATTAAGGCAGCTTGAAAATTTTTTACAGTGTATCAGTTTTTTCTGTATTTATTGTGTCCACTCTTTACTTTTCTTTCAGTTTTTATTCTTTTCAGCAGACTTTCAGTTTTTCAAACATAATTTGCAGGAATGTTTTTCCACACCTACAAATTTCAGTCTTGGAAGTTGTTTCTGCTTCTCACAATCCAAATAATCCCAAACCCATTCAGTGGTGTTGAGGTCTGGAATCTGGGGTGGTCAGTGCATTGTTCAGCTTCTTTGTTTGATGTGTCCGTCTCCTTTTCTCAGTAAGAGCTTCTTGAACAGCTACACATCCTTTCAGACCCACAGCGCTGAGTCGTCTTCTCACAGTGGAAGGATGGACAGAAACACCTGTGGATGTTTTCAGATCTGAAGCAGCTTGATTTTCTCCTCTCTCTCAAAGATGAAAGCTTTAAGTGCTGTTTATCTGATGGGGGCAGTTTTGGTGTCTACCAGGTCTTCCAGGTGGTTGTTAGGAGCCACATTTTCTCTGTAGCTTTTAATCATTTTTGGAACTCCAGTTTTAGAAACTCCTGTTTTACTTATTTTCTTTTAACTTTTTCCTTCATTATGAAAGTGGATTACTTTGTATCTAATCTTCTCAAAAACATCTCCTGAAAAATGAATAACGTACTTAATGGCCATTTTAACTGGAAGTGAAGTAAATGGTGGGCGGTCTCTGATTTGTGCACTGTGCTGAATGTGAATTTAACTAGTTTCAACCCTTAAAAGTCACCGTTATTGCCAGCGATAACAAAAACACGGTGCTCGTAGCTCATTGAAACAAGCAATTCTGTAGAAAATGTGAAAGCAAGCTTTTACTTGATACTACGTTTGTAAGTAGAAGAGGAAATATTATAATTTGAATTTAATGCAAGATTGTTGTTGTGGATCTGATCCTGTTTCGGGGAAAGAAAACTCTACTTTTCCAATTTTGTCATGTTTTTTTCTCATTGTTTAACATTGAAACCAACAGAAATGTTGAATATAAATTGAATGCAAACTCACTATGTAATTTAAGTAATTACATTATTGCATTTGACTAATACAGCAAAGCAAAAGTAATAACTCTCAGCTTCTAAGGGTTAAATGGCAGAGTTGATATTCCCTCAAATAATGGCTGATATTCACCCAAACAAGAAGTTATAAAACCAGGTTTGGAGCTCTTATCGGTGCTGGTTTGGCTGATAACAGTGTTCAGGCAGTCCATTTGCTATGAGGAGCAAATACAGCTCTCAGCTATTCACCGGCCAGGTCTCTGAGTACTAGCGTATGGGTAGGCTCTCTCATTTGCATTGAAAGTGGAAGCAGAACAGTACGAGTCTGCACATGCATCTGTATTTTGGCTGTGCTGGTGTTTAACGCTAAACATGCTAATACCAGTGTCATTGTCTGGTCTTCCATTAGCGCTGAAGATCCACGTGTCGGAGGCCACACGTGCAGTGCTGCAGGAGTTCAACTGCTTCCAGCTGGAGCTGAGAGGAGACATAGAAATGAAAGGCAAAGGGAGGATGAGGACCTACTGGCTTCTGGGAGAAAGCACCTCCAACCACGCTTGAACAGAACAGAGAGCGGAGAACCGAGAAATCAGCTTTCTCCTGAGAGAAGAGGGGCCGACAGAAGATATATACAATCATGTAGCAGAGCTTTGAATGGAGAGAGGAAAGAAATACAGTGAAGAAACTGCAAGATGAGCTACGGACGTTCCGGGACGTGACGTTTCGGAGCTGGCCTCGTTCCTCTTGTCGTCTCTCAAAGCTTCAGGTTATCGCCACATGCGAGCGTCAAAATAACAGGCTTCATTTGTCTGTTCAGGACAAAATAAAATGAAATAAAAGGATCTGAAGAAGTGAATGAAACAACATATAGGACTACAAATTATTGACGTTGCGAATGTTGACTTAAGCTGTTGGTTTGAGGACAGTGCCATCTAGTGGTGTGACACTGTACATGTATTTTTATTGCTGAACACTTTGTTAGAGGAGTTGGTCTCCACTTTTTCGGTAGCTTCTCTTTGTGTAAAGATGACATGATGCTTATTTGTTTCTCCCTGTAAAGTCTCTACATTGCCACTCAGTACTTCCTGGTGTATTTTAGCACGTGGACCAACAAAGGGCAATGGAACAAGTACATAAACTATAGAATATAGATTATTATAGATTGTAGATTATAATGCCTACATATTCAGATGATACTGATGCAGAGGTGCAGTACTGAGAAAGGATTCCACAAGACAACGACAAAATATGAGTATACAGGGGGTAGAAATAATGGAAACTATTTTAAAGTTACTAAATATGACTTAAAAAGCAATATCACTGTCTGTTTCTTACTAGTTTAACACGTATTAACAGTGTTAACTGGTGGCAGCAAAGCTTCCGAAACCTACAAGGTAGTGTTTGAATTTCTAAAAAGCAATAGGAGGCACCTAACAAGCTGTAAAAGAGATTATTTCCCTAATTGCAGTCAAGACGGAGGGAGTGAAGGCATGTTTCAGACAAGAAAGGGGGTATTATTTGAAAGTTTAGAGAATAAATCGCTGTTGTCTGAACAAAACCTCGTATCTCCAAAATCATAATTTTACAGGAAAAGGAAAAAACATACTTTACTTGCAATGTAAGTCAATGGAACCAGAATTGTTTCCAAGTCATTTTGGGTCGTTTATTTTGGTCCATTCCTCATGAAATGCTACACACAATGTAAAGACCAACAGGCATTTCCAAATTATGTAAAAAACTGAAAAATGATAAAAATGGAGGTACAAGCTTTTGTTCCGACAGCAGCGAAATGCTAAAAAATACTGACAAAGTGAAAACACATCAAAACTCTAACAAACTAACAAAGAGAGTGCTATTGCTTTCATACTGATCTGTAATAGAGCTGTTATTTGGAACCAGTTTGTAAGCAAAGTCACTGTCGAACAGTGTTTGTTCCAATTAAGGAGGCTTTTCTCCACGTTTTAAAAAAAGCTCAATACTGACGTGACTAAGAGTTAAAGACCTGTAACTGAATAGCAAATGGGCACAAATAGAGCTGTGTACAGCAGCCTAAACCCACACTGTAGGAAAAGTATTGTCACTTTGGTGAAATAAGGACTAAAGTACAATACCTTTCCAAAAAAACAATGGAAGATGGAATGAAATGATTGAACGATGGAATGGAATGAAAAAAACTATGGAAGGTTTTTTTGTTCAAATTGAAAGAAATATCATTATTTCTTTCAAATCAGGAGAAAAAATGGGCTAAAATATGACAAGTCACCATCAGCTTGAAATAATCATTTTAAAGTCAGAGGTCAGGAGTTTTTCAGACCATGTCGTACGTCTCTACGGATTACAGACACATGTCTTGTGGATTTGGAGACCTCTCTGGTGGAAAACTACATGAAACAAGAACACTGTGTGAACGTGGGTTGTGTTTCGGACCCCTTCCCTGAGCAGATGAATCTGATGATTGCAAGTGCATTGAAAGAGAATTCAAAGAGAACTCAGTCAAACCTTGGTGAAGGACGTGTCTTCGAGAGGTCTGCACAGGCCTGGTTATTGATACCCGCACCCACCCGATTTAACCACTAATCACAATCGCCTGTGCCCTAAAAATGTAGCATGATTCTTGCCCACTCATTAACTCAGAGTTAATTATCTTCTCAGCGAAGCTCGTTCTGCTCATTAGTCTGTTTGCTGGTGATGCACGTGATTCATTCACGTGACGTAACTGAGTAGGATGTGCGCATGTGGGTCACGCTGGTGAACCAAACAAGTGTGAGCCATCCTGTCAGAGAGATTGGATTTGAGCAAAAAATCGGATTTGAGCAATAAGGCTTGTAATGTGAACGTAGCTTTAGTTGCTTGCCTGTTCGCTCATATAGGCAGCCAATAATTGTCCAAGCCTGCCCTCTCAGCCAGCCATAAAACGAGCCTGCAACCTGTTGGCTGTTCAATTGCAATGACTGCAGTGCTTAAAAATGAACCCCCCCCCGCAGATTACTTAGCAGATCATGCGGGACCCAGCTAGTGTCTTCCAAGGATGCGAGTGAATTCTCTACCACTGTCATCATATTTTCATCAGTATAATGTTGATTCAGCATTTGAGACCTAAACGTCGAGCCAGACCTTCCTTTTGAGTCTGTGCGCGTGACGTTAATATGTAAAGACGTACGACGTGGTCCGACAAAGTCCTGACCCGACACCTCTGACTTTTGAATGATTATTTCAGGCTTTACAGGGTGACTCACAGTAGTGCACGCTCAATATATTTTAGCCTGTTTTTTCATTCAGACTTAGCAATGCTTTCAATTCTTTCCATTTTTACAAAATAATCTTACATAGTGCAGCTTTAAGTAGAAGTATAAAGCTACGTAAGTACCTGTAGAACTGCAGTGGATCTTCTTAGTATATCCAGCATCTCTCAGTGCAGGAAATGAAGTTTATTAGAATCTGTTCTTCTCTTTTAGGATCCTTTTGTTCTAAAAAAAAAATGCTAACGCTCCAGAGTGAGAGCAACAGCAAAGCAGTACAGAAGTTGTTTCCACCTTAACACATTAAAATGTACAAATCATAAAAGGAATTTTTAATTAAATGTTAATGACTAAAATGAATGTACGTTCCTTTCCTCATGAGCACAGTCGTATGCAAAAGTTTGATCAACCCTGGTCAAATCATGTTTTGCTGATTTGGAGTGAACTGAAAATAAATGAACACATTTACTATTTTTCTGCCAGTTTTAGTGCACAGTTTCTTTTTTTTTTTTGTGCTGACCATAAACATAACTTTTGCACAGGCCAGATTTTATGTTTTATTTTTTTGCCAGTATGCTAAATTCAGTAAATAAACAATGTGCAGAGGTGTGTTCTCTGTAGAGAATGTGTAACTTATTTACCCTTTAAAAAAAAAACAACACATAATTTGACCAGGGGTGCCAAAACTTTTACGTACAAACATATACTTGAGTAGAAGTAAAAGTATCATTGAAAATACAGATGAAAGTACATTCATTTGTATTACTTCAGTGCATGTAAGCACTGTGAGTGATGAGCAAATGTGACTACTCTTCTACGCTCTTAATGATGGTTCTTCAAGGGTTCTTTAGTAAAGAAAATGGTTCTGTATAGATCCATGAACACTCAAAGTACCCTTTGCATGAGTAAAATGTTCTTTGCATCACTGAAGAGTTCTTCAGCTTGAATGTGCTTCTTGAAAAAGGTTCTAAATAGCACCAAAAATAGTTCTTCTATTGTTACAATGTCAAGCCTGTAACAATAGAAAGAACCCTTTTTGGTGCTATATAGAACCCTTTTCAAAAAGGTTCTATATAGAACCATCAACATCATGTTCTCCATTAATCTGAAGAACCCTTTCATGATGCAAAGAACGCTTTAATCATGCAAAGGGTTCTTGGAGTGTTCATGGTTCTATATAGAACCATTTTCTTTACTAAAGAACCCTTGAAGAACCGTCTTTTGAAGTTTGGTGGTATAAAAGTGTTTCAGTTGCCGCACAAGCTTCACCTGAAATACTAAAAGTTATTGCTAAATATCCCACGAGGTTTAATTACAGAAGTTGTTTATAATTACGGTCGAAAGGTTCTTCTTGAAGAACCTTCCAGTGCTCTATAAGAAACGGTTTGACTTCACCATTACAAGGCCTAAAGGCAAAAGGGAGCCTAACATCATAGAGTCCTACACTTCGTCTTGTATTTCCACTATTTTGTCTACCTCCTGTATATTTGTGTTATATTTGATGTACACAAAATGAATATTACACATAGTATATATACTGAATGTTCAAACAAACATGGGGGAAATGTGAGTTTTTGATGTGATGTGTATTATATGTGAAACTGGCAGATGTACAGACAAACTACAGTACAGAATAGTGTAAAATAAGGATAGTTTTATTAGCTGTGACCCTGAGTGCCTCCATTAATCATAACCAGCATAGAGTACATAGGTGAATCCAAGTCACACCGACTGTGTACAGCCTGAGATCTGTTCTATAAAGCCAAGTGAGTTTAGCATTCGTTATGGTAGTTTGTGAATTGTGCTTGTTTTCAACCCAAGCACCGTTTGCCAAAAGCAGGGAGAGTCTCTCTGGAGCCACTTGGGATAAAGTGCCTTCCTTAAGGGCACCAGGGCCATAGCAGGTAGCAGGTAGTCTCATCTAGGGGTCAAACCTATGAAGATCAACATAGATGTGTTGTCAAAAATTGCCTAGCTAACTGTTTAACAGTGAATTTTACTGATTTTGTTTTCAATCCTCTGTAAATCAGTTGTTGAGATGTAAACAACGTCATTAAAAGTGGTTTGATGTGAAGTGGTTCACTGTAGAGAAACAAACTGAGTCTGATTTCCTTACAGTGGTGCTGATAGGAACCAGGAGTGGCCATGTCTACAACACAAATATAGTCATTTTATTTACTATCCAAAACCACCAGTGAACCTACACGTGTCTTCTGATTTTGATATGTAATGTTGATGATGAAGTGTCTAAAATATACTTTGGTGCCGAGGCAGGGAGTGATGTATTTTAGGACAAAGTCTTGTCTCAAAACTATCAACACAATGAGTGTGTTTACGTGCACTTAATAATCCAATAACTGCAGAAAATCAGATTTTGTCAGTAATCTGATAAACAC